ACTGAAAGACACACTGAAAAAAAAACTGTCTCTTGTACATTGACTACAGTGGGAGTCTCCAATATATACTAATTTCTCTCTGACTAAGTTGTAAAGCAAGTGTTATAAGGTTTTTGTGATAAAAGAACGTATCTGTTAGTAATGTGAAAGAAAAACAAAGCCTACTCTTTATTTGTACCAGTAAGCAAGAGAAGAAAGAGAACAATTATATTCATTTTCTTATCAGACATGACCCCACATTTTTCAGGATTAGCCGGACTAGGATAAAAGAATGTCACCCGTTAAATTGTAATGTGCACATATTTTGTATGCAATTTTCTCTAGGGGTGAATGGGAGCTGCTGGCTCTCAGCTCTTTGAAACTAGGGCTATAATTTTATTTAGATGTGTAAACACAGACTTCAGAGCTACAACTGCATACCATATGGAAAAACATGAATGGGTCTTCCAGAAACCTGATCAAATATAGCCAGTGAGTTCTGTAACAAACTGAAAATGCAGCAGTGCTGTCTTCTCTATTCCCTTTTGCTCTCCTTCCCTAAAGAAATATTCTAACGCTCTAGTATATGTTCTGTTTTGATTTGTAATGGGCAAAAAAAAGAAAAACACCTTCCACTCTTTCTCAGTCTGGCCACTTCCTGCTACTTCCCCAGCCCCAAAGAGAACAGGGATTCCCTTGCAGTGAAGAATCCCTGAGCTCTTGTCCTCTGTGTGGGCCCAGGGAGGAGGATGAGAAGGGAGAGGTCATGTGATCCTCTTTTCCTTTCCCCCACTCCTATAAGCCTTGGGGCTCAGTGATTTGGTCACTTGGTGACTCACCATACCTTGAAATGGTTTTCTGACGCTAACATTCATGGAATGTTCTATACACTCAGATCACTGATAGGTGCCTACAGTTTTAACCTCACGCTGACAAAGCCTTTTTGTGTGGTGGTCAGGTTAATGGGACTGTCCCTCACTCAGATTGCTAATAACCTGTGTCCTGCACTGGGAATTGTATATTGATGGCTAAATGAAAAGAAAGAGGGGGAAATCATTTATTTATAGGAAATATTGAGCATGTGTTTTAAAATTCAGCCAGAGATGAAGAAAAGTTTATTTAAAAAAAAAATCTATCATATTGGAAACTGAGGTCTAAATTATACTCTTGAATGCGTCTCCCACTGATTTTAAAAGAAGTCTTTCACCAAAATGACAATACATTCATTTCCAGAATGGTTTCCCCACCCACACTAGGATCCTTGCCCTTCCCTAGGACGCCAAGGGCCCAACTCTGCCACCATTACTTGCATTGTGTAGTACATAACTCCATGAGTAGCCCCATTGGAAACACCAAGCGGGTAGGTGGGGATGGGAGGGAAATGGGCGGAGCCAATGCACAAGCCAGCACTGCTGGATCGGTGCAGGGGGGGTTATAATTTGCTACTGATGTATGCCAGCAACAAATGAGTCTCTGCCAGAAGTAAGTGGGGAAGGTGGAAAGGAACTGTGCCTTTCTTTCTTCCCTGGGCTGCTTTTACACCCCATCCCTCAGGCTTGTGGCAAAGCCAAAAATCTAGCTCTCAGTAAAACAGGCTCCAATTAGCATTATGCTAAGCTCCCCACTTTTCATTTTGTGGCCAAGTTAAAATTTTCACAAACACTCACAAAGACAAACTTTGTGTTTGCCACAAGTAAACACGGCTTTTCATGACAAAGATGCCCTTATTCTATATTTACCTCAGTTAGAAATTGGCCATTTCTGTCTACCTGCTTTTTTATTTTTTTAACGAAATGTTCCCTAAGCAGAGAATTGCCTCATGACATCTGTGCATGAAGAATGGCCTCTAGCATGAAGAGCTTCAAGCATCCTTCTCTGCTGCCGTCTAAAGCAGATAAATGTGAATGTAACGCAGCAAAGAGGCAGACTGAATCATTCCAGCCCTGCTAGTAGCTTGAATTATTCAAATGAAGACGGATCAGGCACTGAGCAAACTGGAATTTCATCAGACAAACAAGATGAGGTTCTGTATTTAAAAATGCTGTCATTTTCCCTCTGATTTTTTTCAAGCTTCATTTAAATTCTGAAAATGCCCTGTAGTACCTGTTAAGTGCCTTACAGAGAAGAATTTAGTCATTCCATGTGCATTCAGCCTGAGGTGAAGTGTTTACTAAGAGAGACAGGTTTCAGAGTGGTAGCCGTGTTAGTCTATATCAGCAAAAACAACGAGGAGTCCTTGTGGCACCTTAGAGACTAACAAATGTATTTGGGCATAAGCTTTCTTGGGCTAAAACCCACTTATTTCCATGTACATTGGCCAAACCGGACAGTCTCTATGCAAAAGAATAAATGAACACAAATCTGACATCAAGAATTATAACATTCAAAAACCAGTAGGACAACACTTCAGTCTCCCTGGACGCTCAATGACAAACTTAAAAGTGGCAATTCTTCAACAACAAAAACTTCAGAAACAGACTCCAATGAGAAACTGCAGAACTGGAATTAATTTGCAAACTGGACACCATCAAATTAGGCCTGAATAAAGACTGGGAGTGGATGGGTCACTACAAAAACTAATTTCCCCCTGCTGATACTCACACCTTCTTGTCAACTGTTTGAAATGAGCCATCTTGATTACATTGGCCTCATTAGTGCTACAAAAGTGATTTTTCTTCCCTTGATATTCCCCCCTTCTTGTCAACTGTTGAGAATAGCCCACTTCCACCTTAATTGAATTGGCTCGTTAGCACTGACCCCCCCCAACTTGGTAAGGCAACTCCCATCTTTTCATGTGCTGGGTATTTATACCTGCCCCTGTATTTTCCACTCCATGAATCTGATGAAGTGGGTTTTAGCCCACGAAAGCTTATGCCCAAATAAATTTGTTAGTCTCTAAGGTGCCACAAGGACTCCTCGTTGTTTTTGTTTACTAAGAGCGTGTCCCAGAACATCAATGATGCATTAGGTAAGCTTTTCTCAGTTGTGCAGTCTTACGGGAACCTCCAGACAGTCCTTAATGGAGCTCTATCCATTAATAGAGCTCATTATGGTTCATGTCTCCTACCTATGGGGGCAGGGAAGGAATTCTCCACGTCTTTACACTGTCCTATCTAGTGCCAAGGAACAACAAGGGAGTCTAAGCCACACACTTCCCCCCACCCTCAATCAATGGGGAGACATTGGTTTTTACACAGGTGTAAGTGAGAGCCGGGAAGAAAGCAATACTATTTCTGCTATGGTAGCTACTGCAGAATAAAAAGAATTAGCAGCAGCAGTACTATTCTTAACCCAGGAGTTCTAAAAAAAGCATTTGCCGGGGTTCATAATCCATGTTCTTTTGTTTTAGTGTAGTTCTACACTGGGTCACCTTGCCTTCATCTTCACGCTTTTGAGCAGTATAGCCGACTTTCCTACGTTTGCTTGTGTCACTTCTCAGGGCTCCTGCTCTCTGAGGCAGCAGGCCCTGCTTTTCATACATTTTTTTTGTCTACCTTTTTCTTCCTGGGGAAGTACCGTATGGTCACAGAACGCACTCCTGCTGTTCAAATGGGCCTGCTTTTCCATTACAAACATTCATACGGGAAAATCTGCTTATTAAAAAGGACGTCGGCCAGCATACCGGGAAGACAATTTTACAGGATCCATTGCTATTGTGTTTAGGGCAGGCAGATGGTAGTGATGCCACCTGATTTCTGTGTTAAGCAGAAGACGATTCAAAAGCTCATTTGAAACTGGCAACAAAACTATATTTTGTAAGAAATAGCAGGAAGTCAGATGCTTGCTGGAGATGGAAACCACCTTCTGAGTAGTACTTTATAATTGTATATTATTTATACCTGAGCTATTATGGGGCTGTCCAAATTATCCTGATTTTCAGTGTGTAGCTTTTTTGTATGGACAAATACACTTTCTAGAACCATGCACTGAATTAACTAGGGGTGGAACCAATAGGGTTTTATGACAATTAATTGGAATTCTGTGAAAATTACTCTGAGCCTACAGTGTCAAATTTAACAGAGAAATATGTTCTTTGTAGAGTTGTGGGGCTTTTCAGGAGGTGGTTTGAGGAGTTGGTTTGTTTTACACCATTCTGTGGAATTCTGCAGCAGGGATATAATTCTGTATTGAACTCTACAGGCTGTTTTGAACCATCATATGTTATTTTGTATTAAATGCTATTGGGATGAAATTCATCCCCATGCAGCGGGCCTGCACAAGCTTTCTGTGCCACTAGAATCCTATTTTGAGGGCTTAAGAGGGAATTCATTGATACTTAGAAATTGATGCTGGCCCTTGGCACAGGGGTGAATTTCACCCCACTGCTTTTCTACAAAGATACCCTAACAACACATGCACCTAGACAGTTAGTTATTTTCTAATTATAATAGTGGGAAAATGTGTTTTTTCTTTTTCCAGAAGAGATGGCTGGAATATGGGAATAGACATGTCATCCCCTTTCCATTTAAAAAATAAACCAACATTAATTCATTCTCTCTCTCATATCTTCTCATTTTGGAAAGAAGGGCCTGATCTAAAGCCCATTGAAGTAACAAAAAGAACAGGAGTACTTATGGCACCTTAGAGACTAACAAATTTAGTCTAAGGTGGTACAAATACTCCTGTTCTTTTTGCGGTTACCGACTAACCTGAAGTAACAAAGACTCCTATGGACTTCAGTGGCCTTTGGACCAGACCCTCAAGAACATACAGATTCTATTATAATAGGTTTTTACACTATGCTCATCACCATGGATCTGAGCACCTTCCAGAACCTCAGTAAGGAACGTGACTAACATTTGATTATGTTGTTTGTTCTCTCATCCTTTCCCCAAAGGAGAAATGTGTGCAGTAGAATATGTTGTTTGGGTAGGGTTTTTCTGGTGTGTTTTTTGTTTTGGTCTCACTCAAGCCCATCTTTGTCTTCAAGAGGACAGAGTGAGATATGCTTTGTTTTCTTGTGTGTCTGTTTTATCAAAACAAGTAATTGATCATAAATCCTCCTGTGACTGATTTTGCAGGTCGAGACTATGTACGGGACAAAATCTGTCAAGAATTCAACAGCCTGGGAAAAGACAACTTCCGATCTCTGTATGTACCCCCCAGAACACTGAAGCATTGACTTTGAACCCAGCCTGCTAAGACACAGCACACAAACCAAGTTAAAGAAAATGATTATAAAAAGAAAAAATAATGTTAGAAGGTTTAACTATAATTAAACTTTCTAAAGGGGGAGTCCTATTGATTTCAGTGGGACCACTTACACGAATAAAGTTAAACACCTGCATATTTGCAGGATCAGGGCCTTAGACTGTAAGTTGTTTGTCTGCCTTGAATTTTCAAAAGAAGTGAATTACCTAAATCCTATTGCATTTTAATGGAATGTGGGTGCCTAGCACCCTTAGGATTTGAAAATCCCAGCCTTCTACTTCAATGGCAGCATCTGTCTCTCTGACCCCAGCTACACTGCTATTTTTAGCAAGCTAGGTGGCACAAAACTAGCAAGTGACTATCTGAGCTGGGAAACACTCCCAGCTGCAGTTTAGATGTACCCTTAGACATTTAACTGCCTGATCTGCAGCGACTATCAGTACTTAGGCATGTATGTGACATCAGATGTATCCATAGACAATTATAGAAGGAAATCTGTGTCCACAATTACTTCGGGCTGCAAAGCTGTGGGAGCAAACTGGAAGCCTGGATACAGGCATGCTGAAAATAAGGCTCTACGGCTATAGCACAGATTCTGATAACGTTTTAAAGAAAAAATGTTGCTTTAAAAGAAAACCCTTATTCTTATTTCAGACCCAGAGCTGCTATTCTTCATGTAAAACTTGTGACTGCAATCGGACAGATTTATGTCAACAGGGTTATAGTGAAAAATAAACACTTCCCCAAACTTGCCCTGAGATCTTTGCCTTCTGTTTGTTCTCAGAGCAATCATCATGAACAGCAAGAAATTCTCCAATGCCACCTTTGAAGAGATCAGTCACGTTGTGAAAGACGTGGTCTCCCTGGCAGAAACGTGTTGTGTCAAAGGGGCTGACCCCAACTGCTATGATACTGGGGTAAGTCATGCTCTATAGAATCATAGTATCTTAAACACAATGCATTTATTAAAGAAAACAGCTTCTAACAATAGACAAAGAAAACGGCTTCCATACAGCTTTGCTCTCAGCTTTTTCTCCCTTGTCTACCAGGCCCCATCCTGTATGATGACAAAGGAGATCCATTCCAATTTAGGCTTAAATAGTTTCTTGTAGCATTTATTTTGTACATTTTAAGACCAGGCTATTACCAGCTATAAATGACCTCTTCTGGGGAGAGGGAGATTTTTTCCAAGTCTCTGGTCTCTGCTATGTTCTCCCCCCCCTTTTTTTTTTTCACTTTTCTTTTTTCAGTCAATATTCTTTTATACCCTATTCCATAGCTTTGCGCAGACTCAGTTACCAAGTTACCTCATCTGTGAACTTATCCACTAAACCCCTGACTAAACATTTTTATGCACAAATCACAATAATTAACCCAAACGAATACATTTTTGCTTACCTTGCTAAAACTTGTCTTATTTATATCATCTGTTCTCTGCTGTTAATCCCACTGGCTCGTTCCAGTTGTTTTAATCTTACTGGTCTGTTTTTGTGGCCTTGGGTTTTTGCTTGTCAGCTTGTCTTGGGAGCACCTTAAACTTAACAATTCCCTCATGACGCTCTGTTTCACTTTGCTATTTACACAGACCACGGTTTTACAAAGCAAGACACACAAACCAGGTTTCAGGGTTGTATAAACTCTGAAGTTTTTCCAGCTACATTCAGGAATGCTGCATCATCAGAGACGCACACAAATTCCTTTCTATTGTCTTATAGTACTACACCTAATATTCATGTCTCTAACATTATTTAGTGTGTATGTGTATGTGTGTGTGTGTGTATGTAT